GTGTGTGTGCGTTTGCGGCGTGTGCGTGTGTGTGTGTGTGTGTGTGTGTGTGTGTGTGTGTGTGTGTGTGTGTGCGTGCGTATGTATGTTTTTTCTTGCTTAAGTGTATCTGTGCTTGTATGTGAGTGTGAATGAGTGTGTATGTGTATATTTGTGTGTATTTGATATAAAGACAGACAGACCGACAGATTGACAGACAAACAGATAGTGGAAAGAAGAGGAAGTTTTATTTTGACTCTTCAACTAATCATTTTTTCTTTTCTTTTGTCTATTTTCAGGTGCCAAAACAAACTTCAAACAACGCTTCTTCTTCGTTTGACGGAAAGTGAGAGAAATCAGAGCGAGTGGTTCACAAAAATCCGATTCTTGAATCAGGAGCACAAAGCTTTGTGTTCGTATTTATACGTACAGAATATTTGTGAACACAGGTTCGGCTCATGTTGTGCAAACTCTGACCTTTCGCGACACTCTGGGCTCTGCTAGTAGCGTGTCAGTAACAACACCTACGTCTGCTGCCTAAGTATGTATTAGGCTCCCGTGTTCGGAAAGACCTTGTGTAATCATTCATAATCTACAGACTGCGGCCGGGTGATGATGCAATTGGCGCAAGTCAAATGTTCCCATTCATTAGCTTTGTTAATCTCTTTAATAATACCCCTCCTTTAGTATTCGTTACCTTAGAATTATACAGTTATGTATCTTCAGTACTTAGTTTTGAGAAATTTGACATAAAAAATGTTGGGTTTCACAACCTGTCAAGCTTTTTCGAATGCAATTCTTTAAATACCTTGATAACGACTCCGAATAATCTTACGATTTTGATAGATGAGATAGAACATTTGGGTTCTAGAACTTTGTAATTCTGGGGAAGCGTATTAACGCAGCTCATCATAAAATTAGGTTTTCTATAAATAACTTGTTATGGCGGACTTAAGTGAGAATTTGATTTAGCGTCTAAGCTCATGGATAGGCCAAACTTCGAGGACTATGGCTTCTCCAGCGGAGTTTTTAACTTAATGGGATAACAGGTTTGGAGACTGAAATAGCAAAGTGATGAAGATAAGAGAACAACAAGAAACTTAAGGCAAGGAGCTTGAAAGGGAAAGATACAATATCCATTTCGTGCTACTTAATGTGCAAATACCATAATTAGAAAGCTTTTAGAGTAGTGCGAAATTTATAAAGTTCAGTCATAATGTTAAGATCAGATAAGGTTTTTTTGTAACCTTTTAGAACATCCGATGACAAAAAAGGCGAAATTAATCATAACTTCGTCGACCCTTAAGCCATATTCATTTGGATAATTTTCTTTTAGCCATAAAGGGGTTGGGGTTCCTCAATGAATACATTAATTTGAAAATCCGTTCAACCTCAGTAAGAGGCTACTATCGATGTACATGATGTGCTGAATCGTAATGTTTCGTACTTGTGGCAAGTATTACTCCGAAATGAGTTTTCTGAAGATATTGAAACCCATTTAAAATTAAGTATAACATTATGGAGGAGGAGGAGGACGGGGAAAAGGAGGGGGGGGGAGGAGAAGGAGACGAAGAAGAAGAAGAAGAAAAAGAAGAAGAAGAAGAAGAAGAAGAAGAAGAAGAAGAAGAAGAAGAAGAAGAAAAAGAAGAAGAAGAAGAAGAAGAAGGCCTTCTTGTGATTATTTCCTGACATAGTTATTTATTTTCTGTCTTTGAGCGAGAGTGCTGTTCCTTTTCTCTCTGATGGGTTCCACGGAACATTTACCCGAAAAAAAACATAAAGACGTGGAATCTCTCGTTTTGAGCAACTCTGTCCTTCAAAGTTGATGGAAAAACTTAGTAAAGCGTCATTACTTAGTAAAAAAACTTCGAATTAGTTCTTTGTAGCTGTTAGCTTTTTGCTTTAATAAAAAGTGAAATAATATAACTATACTTAAATATGTACACTGTTACATATGTTTGGGGAATACGTTTAAGGTCAAGTATATCAACTGTGAACTTCGTATTGGTTAAGCAGGGAAAACTTTAGTCGTGAATTTGAATGTTTTAAGGGATGTCTGGGTGACGGCATTATAATCTGCGCTCTGGAATGCTCCCCGTGAAAACAATGTTTGGTATTACAGAGAAAACATACTTTGGGTGATTTTATCATAGAGTGGAATCGCGAGCTTTTATTCTCTTATACCAACCGAGAAAACAACCTTTGTGGAACAATTAAACATAGAATGTGATTTGAACATTCCAGCATATTGAATCAGTTAATTGACCATCAGAGTTGTGACTGTAACGACTTCACTTACGGGACTGGAATAACGGCTGTGAAGTGAATCTTATATTTTAAAAATCCGTAGCCAACGTGCCCACGGTACTGGTTTTAAACCTTATTTTTCACGGAAATAACCTTCCCATCTGTGTAAGAATCCGAGGCCATGAGTGCCAAAGTCGCAGCCTTCCACCCGCACAACCCCGAGGGAACCATCCATAGGGTCCAGTCTACGAGCGCGCTGAGAATACCCAGACAGAGGAAGACCTTCTGGCAAAGGTGAGAGAAGAAGTAATGAGGTTGTCAGCTGCACGCGGACGGCGAATGGTGCAGTGTGAATAGTGGTATTAAGGTTTGGGATATAATTATGTCTGAAATATGTGCTAAGTCGAATGGCGGGAAGAAAAAAAAAGGGGTGGGGGTGGCTGAGGGGCTGGAAGAATGTTCCTCGTGTTTTCTTTGTCTTGTTGTTTTCGTCTTTCTACTTTATTTAGCTAAAATCGTTGTCTTGTTATGTGTTTATTTTATTCTTCGTTGAGTTAAAGGAGAGCGGGGAGTGTTAAAGAGAGACGAAAAGAGGGAGACTAGTGCTTAAGGATTTTTAACAATAATAATATTGCTGTTCCGGGTGAATGGTGCCACTATTTACTGTTATCTCTAGTTGTTGCTTTTGTTTTGTTTTGGGGTTTTTTGTGGGGGTGGGGTGGGGTAAGTTATCTTTTTTTTTTTAATTGTGTAAACCTGTTGTACCAGTCTCAGCCGGGACGAGACAATGGTATGAGTTTTCGTGGCTCTAGGCTTAACAATTCTCGAATGGAAATCGATATTATCAGTATTGCTGTTGTTGTTTTTTGTTGTTATTTTTATTATTACTTTTATTATTACTATTATCACATTTACCATCGTTATTTTTGTTATTTTCCGGCGTCTGAACTATTACAAGGGACATTAGCAGTATAGTACTCTCGTAGCTGCATATTTATCTCAGTTATTTCCCTTGTTTCGTGAATTCGTTTCTTCTACCTTTTCTTCCCCTGTGCTTGTGGTAAAATATCTCAGTGTGGCTTTTCGGACGAGCTTTATTTATTTTTTTTTAAAGAAATTGTTCCCCATTTAAGTTACCAAATCTAGTCTTTTGCTTCTGGAATTCGTTTGCTTGCAAAAAAGGATGCTAACAATGTGCTAACTTGATAGCCCCGGGCGTGTTAAAAAACGAAAGCTGCACCAGTTCACATCAGTCATTGGTATCTGGTTCTGTGTTTCTGTCCCTGAACTTTCCGCCTACGTGATTCTGCTTTTGGTATGCGCTTTGGGATAAGGATTGTTTTAGGTGTTGGTGGCTGGAAACACTTTCCAGGGGTGGGGGAGAAGAGGTTAAGGATATAAATACCTTAGCAATTCCTTTAATGGACATAATTAATGGTTTCAGTCCTAATTCATCTACTATAGTAGTCGGCGAGTGGTTGGCGGGTTCCCCTTCTTTCCTGCTACACACCCATCGTCCTTATCTCTCCTCGTTCTTTTTTTTCTCTAAAACACCTCTAATCTTTGGCACTTATATAACCTATTTCTGTTGCAAGCGCCGTAAAACTCTTATCAAAATGAGACGCGGACCATACTCATAATCTCCGCCACTAGGCTTATTTGTACAGTGGGCGGTGGTGGTTTATGTATTGATGATATAGCCATTCAGATACTTTCCCTTCTAGACCACACGATTTCAAATTGTTATTGACATTGACAAGTATATCTTCTGCAATGTACGCTGTTTTCACAGAAGTCTCTTATGTAGAATGTGCATGCTTTTTGTGACGTGGACCAGTGGCCTTAAATTTTGAATAAAACACCAACCTTCCTACCTACCTACCCACCTACCTACATACCTACCTACCTACCTACCTACCTACCTACCTACCTACCTACCTACCTACCTAACAACCTACTTACATACGTACCTACCTACTTACCCATCTGCACCAGCACCCCAACCTTCTCTTTTTCTCTTCACTTTGTTTTATATGTTGCATCAAGGTGAAATCAGGCGCGCGTCAAAATATGAAATCGAAAAACATATTTTCGTCGATTTTTTTTCCAAACACGTTTCGTGTCCATTTTTTAAAAAAATTCTGAGTGACGTTTTACTGAGAAACGTCGAATAAAATCACCGAAGAAATGTAAATGTGTCGCTTGCAAAGACGCTCAAGCTTTGAAACTCACCAAACTTTGAGAGACTTTCTCGCATATTTTACCTCTGACATGGGGCGACCTCCACTTCCTTCAATCGCAAATACCTCGACTTCCGCCCAAGATGGACGGGTATTTTTTCACCAAAAACAAGACAAACAAGCATGCTGTACCATGATGCCAATAACTCTATATGCCCAAAAAGTTAACGAGCGCTTGATTTCACCGCGTCGTGACACATATGACAAGCGCCATGACACCCGATGCCGACCACCTAAACTCCTTCAGCATTCGCGCCGTCTCATTGGACCACAGCCGCTCGCGAGCGACAACGCCCGCGTCTTGGTTACCAAGACAACGGTGCTGCCGGCATCATGTTTCGGAAACGAGGTCCCGGGAAAGTAATTTGATTATCTTCCGGTGTCTTACCATCGTGATTAGATTTATCTGCCTATCTGTTTATTTGTCTATCTCTCTGTCTGGATGCGTGAAGTGTGTCTATCTATCTATCTGTCTATTTTGTCTAGGGTTTTCCTGTCTGCCTATCTGTCTGTCCGTCTGTCTGTCTATCTGCTCTTCTTTCAGTCAAACAATTCCTCTTAATTTTAAAAGAGGACAGAAATAGGAGGTGAATGAACGGTCGACAAAACGGTTATGGGCGTGTGTGTGTGTGGGGGGGGGAGTTATGGGGTAGATTCCTGCATGACATACTTTCCGTCTGCCCCTCAAACTATTCTCGATCGGCCATGGTGCTGATTGCGTCATTTCCGCTTCTTTCTGTCCGGATATGATGGCGTGCCATAAAGTGGAGAACTCCAGAACACAGGATCCGATTAATTCTTTCGAAATAATGACTCATTGTCCTTTGTTCGCAGAGAAAAAGTTGAACTTGTGATAAGTAGAACAATGTCAATGTTCTGATTAACTGTTAACCCTCACGACACAAAAGCTAGAGGAGAATATAAAGAAACAATAGTAACCCAACCGCGACATCGCAACAAAAGTAATTATATTATATACAAAACAACTGAAGTAACTCAACAGCAACAACAACAACAACAACAACAACAACAACAACAACAACAACAACAACAATAACAACAACAGCAGTAGCAGCAGCAGCAACAATAGTCAAACAAAAACAATTGCCATTCAGCAATTATTAATATTGTAGAATGTGCATTTTCATTTTTTGATTTCCCAATTGACACAATTTCTATCATTTGGAGGTCGGCTGCTTCGACACTTTGTATTAGAACCAAGGGCGACGATGAAGGACAGAACATGCCTCAAACGGAATACTCGTTATCGTTACACTCCTTTATTCCTCTTGGAAATCCAACTCATATATTCTTTGTGGGACGGTAACACAAAAGCTGTACAACAACAAAAGTACCACAACAAGACATGTAACACAATAAACATCCAACAGGACTATTATAGTCACATAGCAACAATATCTAATATATAATAAAGGTATAAAGCAGCAGCACCAGAAGCATCATCAGCAGCAGCACCAGAAGCAGCAGCAGCAGCAACAAAAAGGAGAACAAATAATAAAGCATCAACACCATCGACAGCAACAGGGATTAACTTCGGAATTAGTTGGCACCGAAACCGTTCAGATTATGTCAGCGGCGACGACTTCAAACTCTAGTCCCTTGGCGAATAACAATTTCATGGTGTTTGAGAGACCTTAAGAAAGACACCATAATCCCCTACAAAGCCAGGCTGTCAGTGCAGTCATTCTGAGCTTTTAAGTCGGAAAAGAAAGGACTCCGTCGAGTACTGTTGGGGTTACTGATATTAGAATCATAGTGCTTTTCCCGGGTGCATTTTATCCTTTTAGGGGAGGTTTGGTTTTGGAAAGGGAAGAGGGTATGTTTGGTTGTTTCCTTTTTTTTTAGCTTTTCATTGTCTTTTACTTTTTGTTATTGTTATTGTTTGTGGTTTGGGTTTTTTTTTAGGAAGGCGTATTTGATATCACTGTTAATATTCCCTTTTTGGGGGTTTTGAATTATATTTTAAATGGGAAGTGGGAGAGGAGGTGTTGGCTTAGTTATTTTGTTTTTGTTTGGGTTTTTTTATTGCTTTTTTCGCGAAGTGTGCGTATGTGTT